ATCTAAGAGGCTAAGACTTGCGTTCTGGACTAAACTGGCTGGGCTAGACAGGGAAGCATGGCCAATCGGGACTCTAGGTCGTCCTTACGTGTTTTCCGTGTCACTGAATCGATCAATAATACGCTGCTTGACTCTAATCTGCAGTCTCACGCGTTACAACAAAAAGGCCGTGCGCGACGGGCCTCAAGCAGTTTTCCGCTGGGCTCTGCGGTCACGCTCCCAGGCCGTTAAGGCCGACATTAATCCAACTTCCTTTTCAGGTTCTTCAAGAAATACCCTTCCACGGTGTGGGCAGCTGGGAAGTGACATCAGCCCTCATACCCGTAACAGCACACGAGACCAAGTTGGTCACATTCAAATCCTTCCTACACCTCCTAATACCTCTCTTATCTCCATGACTAACTCTCCTCACGTCTCTTTATCATCTCGCACCGCTAGGGCAAAAGATTCGAGTACGTGGAACGCTATTCCTGGTCTCCTGAAACCACGCTCTAAACTACACGTAGGAGCTTTTAACGTACGAACACTTTGCCAAATAGGACAACAGGCTTCCTTAGCTAGGACTTTAGAATCCCGCGCCATCGATGTGTGCTGCGTCATTCATTTGACCTCACCATGCCAAAATAAAGAACCGACTCGATTCACACTTTGTGTATCTGGAAGCCCTGATTCTGCTTCCCGTGGCCTCGCCGGCGTAGGTATAGCATTGAGTCCTAGGGCAGAACTAACTCTCTTAGAGTGGATCCCAGTAGACAGTCGTTTGTACGCTCTCCGACTTAACGGAACAGTAAGGATCCGAAAAGATAGGGACACTCGTCGTTGCCTCTTCGTCGTCTCTGCCTATTCTCCCACTGACTGCAGCTCAGATGATGTAAAAGATGAGTTCTACAGAAAGATCTCCGACCTTCTCCGAAAAGCTAGGCGCTCAGGTGTAGTAATAGTGGCCGGTGACTTTAATGCTCAAGTAGGTAAACTAAGCGATAGGGAAAGATACCTGGATGGATCTTATAGTATTGTGGCTCAAAGAACCTATAATGGCGACCGTCTGTTGCAGCTATGCTCAGATAACCGTCTGTTCCCCGCAAATACTAACTTTAAGCATAAGGAAAAACATCTTTTAACATGGCGACCCCCTAATTCGTCCCAACGTTGGACCCAAATAGATCACATCGCTACCAGCCACCGATGGAGGGGCTCGATAGAAGACTGTCGCTCATTCTGGAGCACACGCTTAGACTCAGATCATGCTCTACTGCGAGCGCGTATCTGTCTGCGTCTTACTGGACGTAGGAAAGACGCTCCAAGGAAACCTCTTAGGGTCCTACTTAATGATAGTCAAGCTAAGAGTATATTTCAGGAACAACTAGAAAAACAGTTAGGCATCCATGTATGTGATGCCCACCCCGAGGCAGCATGGAATGATATCTGAAAAGCTGTGGAAACAGCAGTGATATCTGCTAGTAAGGTAAACCACAAGGTTAAGGAGCAACACTGGATCTCAGCAGCATGTACTGCACTGATAGATGCTCGGAAACTCATTCCACCTGGCTCTGAACATAATGAATAGCGGAGTCAGCTTAAGTACAAGCTTACAAGAAGCCGACGCAATCATTGTGAACAGTGATGGGTAGCGAAAGATGGAAAAGGCAGCGGCAATAGGTAATAGCAGACAATTGTTCATACTCGTTAAGGAAACCGGTATTAGGAACCCGACTGTTAGCGAAACAATCTCAGAGAAAGATGGACATTTTATACATTCTCAATCCAGGAGATTGGATCAATGGGCAGAACACTTTAGGGATCAGTTCAACTGGCCTTCAGCCACACTTCGGTTTCTCACGATCTCTAGTCAACCTGAATGGCAAGTTAATGTAAGTCCTCCGTCTCTTTACGAAGTTGAAAAAGCCAAAGGAAATCTGAAACGTGGGAGAGCAGCAGGCCCTGACAGGTTTACTCCTGAGATTTTTAAGGATGGTGGTCCAGTATTAGCGATGAGATTAACTGAGGTCTTAGGCAGAATTCGGAAACTCGACGTATTCCCATCTGACTGGTCTCAATCACTGAATGTGCCAGTTTTTAAGAAAAGACAAAAGTCCTCTTGTGACAATCACAGAGGAATCAGTTTGACTAATATAGTGTCTAAAATATTAGCTTCAATAATACTTCGACACCTAACTAAAGTTCGTGAAGAGCAGACTACAGAAAATCAGGCTGGTTTTCGACCTGGACGTGGTTGTATAGACCAGGTATTTACACTACGTCAGGTCCTAGAACATAGACACAAATTCAGACGCCCCACAATCATAGTATTTCTCGACCTTAAAGCAGCATTTGACTCTGTCGATCGTAACGTTCTATGGCAGTGTTTATCACTGAAAGAAGTACCAAGGAAGTTAATTAACCTTATAAAGGCTCTGTACTCGAACACAACTGGTAGAGTGAGAGCTTATGGCGAACTGTCATCAGAATTGATTACCTCAAATGGTGTTCGTCAGGGCTGTCCACTCTCTCCATTCTTGTTCAACTTTGTCGTCGACGTTCTTTTAGAGATAACACTTTCCTCGTTTAAATTTCCACGGGTTCAACTTCTACCGGGAGGTTCACTTGTTGACTTAGAATATGCAGATGACATAGTTTTATTTGGTGAACACACTGACAAAATGCAGAGTCTTCTGACTACTCTAAGCAACAATGCAAGGATGTTCGGGATGCGATTCTCTCCCTCGAAATGCAAAATGTTACTTCAGGATTGGGTTACATCGACACCCGAACTAATGATAGGGAGTGAAGTAATTGAGCGTGTCGATCGCTTCATTTGTCTGGGGAGTATCATCAACCCGTGTGGTCTGATGTGTGACGAAATTCCAGTACGGATACAGAAGGCTCGATTAGCTTTTGCCAACTTGCGTCACTTATGGCTTAGGCGAGATATCCGTCTATCAACCAAAGGATGTGTTTACTGTGCAGCAGTTCGTCCCGTCCTACTTTACGGCAGTGAACCATGGCCAGTAGGAGTAGAGGATATCCGTAGGCTACTAGTATTTGATCATAGGTGTCTTCGAAACATTGCTCGTATATTCTGGGACCATCGAGTAAGTAATGCAGTTGTTAAGAAACGGGTACTACGTAAGGATGGCAAACCAATTGATGAGATGGCTGTGACACGTGTTACGTATGCCCAACCACCGACTGCCTCGACGTGCTATGTTTTATGGTATAGGAGTAGATTGGAAGAAAGCTAGGGTCGGCCAGACCAAAACATGGCACAAGTCCATGAAGTCACTGACAAGTGGACTGAGTCATGTTGGTAGGTGTAGACTACCTGGTTGGGGACCGCCAGATGACAGCAACCGATGGTTAGAGACTTTGAATGATATGGCTCAAAATCATTTGTAATGGTGCAGGGGCATCCACTATTTGTGCTCTCCCAAATTCTAATCTTCTGAATTCTTCATGTCCCTTTCTTTTTTCTCTTTCCAAATTTATTTCACTGTATTATACTCCTTGAATAACATCTTCAAACCCTAACCTTTCTGATTACTGCTTATACTCTTACTACCTCTACCTCTCAGATTTGAATCGACAACTGCATCTCCGTGCTAATGTGGTGTGGCAACTCGAATTGATGTATGTACATAAGAAGTTTTACGTTGTTACTGACTGACTGAAAGTCTCTAACCATTGGTTACGGTAATCACGCAGACCCCGACAAAGTAGTCTGAACCGATGAACATGGTTCTGTCCAACAGTCGATGACTTCATGGACTGATAAAATATCGGTCTTGCCGCCCCTAACTTTCTTCCAGCGTGCTCCTACACCAGACAACATCATCCATTGAGGTACGCGGTGGACAGGGATACGTGACAGATGCTACAAAAACCTTAGCTGATGAAGATTCACTACCTCATAAATCGATTTTCCATACTTACCTAATACCCCATTTCTAACAAACAGCCCCACACCTTTAACAGCACTCGAAACCCCCAAATGATTTGAATTCAAAGACAAGACTACTAACCAGAGGAGTAGGTTTATTATATAACACAATGACGCGTATATACAAACTACAAAAATAAACTAAACTTTAATGTCAAAGGTCATTGGAGACGATTAGTTTACAGGTTACTACTCACGTACCTGACTTTAAGACATAATTCTTGGGGATCGTAAAAGAGTTATTTCAATAAAATGAAGCAGATATGAAAAGTATGAATAATAACTGCAAGGAGTTGGAAAGGATTGGCCAGGACAGGGTTGGATGGAGAATGCTGGTGAGCGGCCTATGCTCCTTCACGAGGAGTAACAGGCGTAAGTAAGTAAGTAAGCGTAATTAGTCATTCATTTATATTCATTCTTATTCCAGATTATTATCAATCAAATAGAAATTTAGAAAAATGAAAACGGTGTTTTACAAAACATGATGCACATTATTTTTCTTAAGTAATCTCTTAAGGGTGATTAAAAAATCAACATAAAAATATGAAGAGGTATATTATAATATAAAAATTCAAGGTACTAGTAAACCCCAATAGCTTTCAAGAAAACGCCAAACTAAGAACATCTAAATTTCACTACAATAATAGTTTTTTTAATAGGAAGCAAGGCGTTACATTTACAAGCGACTTGAACATTTTACAAGGTGTGAAACATGAATACATTGGATCTCAAATAATGATTAATGTAATCCTTTCCCTCATGTATACCTTAATAGCAGTAATAAATAGATAAAATATATTTGTCACATATATTTGCACATATTATATTCTAAATCGTGCATATGGTATGTAAGCAAACGATAACAATGTCCTAAGCCTTCGGAGGTAGAATGGAAGTCAAGTCAGAAACCAGATAGTTGGAATTTAAACATTCAACTATTAAGCTACAATCCCATAATAATGTATATGACTATCTCTAGTGAAATGACCGAGTAATCAACTTACAATATAAACAGATTACGAAAATATATGAAGAATATCGATTACATTTTTTGTAATTTTACCTGAGCAACATTTGTACGTCTAGTTGAAACGTGTCGGGTAGACGAGATCGATTGAGGATCTTCAGAAGAATGCTCTGTGTCTTCAGGTACGTTACTCAAACCTAAAAATAAACGACGATTTATTAATTTGGAATTTGTAACACTGGTTTGTAATCTGAAGTAAACTTATGAGGTATCACGAACAACCTAAAAAGAAAACTGACTGGCTAAATCTGTCAGTCAGCTACAGCGTAGGACCAGGCACATATATGCATCGGTCCAAGTTGCCATACCTCAACCTCATTAACACAACAAGAGGAACACCGGATTCATAAAAGTAGTGAATTCAGAGGTGGTAATATTATAAAGAAAGATTGCATATAAGGACATAGTACAGGGAGAAAGAATTAGTTCATACAAAGAAAGATATGAAGCGATTTTAATCTCTGAGTTTAAGGGAAGACAATGAGTGTATACACCAACGCCAGTGTGATCGATTCTGAGTAATGTCACCAACAGTCTCCAACCATTGGTTACGATAGTCATGCGGACCCCAACCAAGTAGTCTGCATCTACCAACATGGCTCAGACTAGAAGTTAGTGACTTCAAGCACTGATGCCAAGTTTCGGTTTGGCCGCCCCTAACTTTCTTCCAACCATCTCCAACACCGGTTAGCATTACGCGTCGTGGTAATCGGTGTTCAGGCATACGTAACACGTGGCCCAACCATCTCAGTCGATGAAGATTCACAACCTCATCAACTGATTTACCACCATTCCCTCCGTTTAACCTCACTATTACTTACTGGCGAAATAAATAACATTTAAGTGTAAACCTGGGATGTGTTTTCTAGTGAGGTTGAGAATTATTGATCAATGGGAAATTTAAAAACAGCTAAGTATTACTTATGATTGTTTTACTTTGTATTTGCATATAACCTCATGAAAAGAAAACTATTTTTGCAAGCAAACTTTCTATAGAGTAATTCTTTTTTAGTGATCCAAGCATAAATGTTTGTTGGTCAAAGGTATAACAACTCACATCAATAAAGAGGAAATCGACAGGAGTGTAATACTACCAACTATAGGGTTAAAGTAACACGAGAGCTATGGATCACACAGAACAAGCGTACTGTAAGCAAACATTAAGCATACTCGTGAACAGTTTAAATATCTCTTCAGCAACAATGACATATAACTGTGATGAGTCAAAATAAATTATAAACTGTTTTGTGAACTATATATTTACAAACGCTTAAACACTAAGTAATAATTTGTCTACAATCTGAAATTGGCATTAATTATTTCATCTCCGTTCGTCATTTGTATTATAATAGAAAGGATAATTTGAGATTGACACTCTGCTTAGGTTCAGATATATGCTGCGAAATCGGTTTAACTGTAAGCACCATATACTGGTAATTACTAACACATGATTATGAATGTTCTTGACAGCCACATAATTATGTTATCTAGATGAAAACTTCGACATGTGAGTATTCAAAATAGCGGGCGTTTGTGGTTAAACTATTGGGTGTGAAATATCCGAACGAGTTTCTGGTGATAGTTTTGGTAACCAAAACAGATACATATTTGAACCAAATCTTATGTTTTTTATTACTGACTGAATGATATCTTCAAAAGTATCACATTCAACCTATGACAGGGTGAAGTAGACAGTGTTTCAACATATCGGTCGACTACAACATAGGACCAGGCACATATATGCTTTCGGGCACTAGAATCGTTGGCCATGGTGACACTTGAGGAGGAAGTCAAGAGAGCAAGTTTAGAGTTGAAAGTGGAGATAGGAGAAATAATAGCAATTGAAGAGGGAGATTGATTATGAATACAGTGATCCTGAGTGCTGCTAGAGGTATGAGGGCGGTTATCAACATGTATAGTAACATCGGACAAAAGCCATACGTAAACCATACCTCCAAGTAGTTCAAAAATCCTTCAAGTGAACGTATTCATATGGTCACTTGTCCCGATGGATTATTACTAGATTAGTAATGAACAGTAACCGATTAAAATACAAAAGATTATTGACGTCTTTGTTGCCACGATGTAAAGCGATCTACTTGTTTAATACCATGATTCACTCGCAGGCACGCAACCAAACTCTTTTGAGCTACAAAACAGATGTTCGACTAAAAAGTGCCACAAAGTCTTACTTTCATTTCAAAGAAAAGGAAATAATCAGCTGTTACTAAGAAAACAGACTTTAATTGTGTACCGGCATTCAGCCAACTTAGGGTATATGAAATCTAGAGTGTTAAATGTATACCAGAAAACTGTTGGACAAATCCAACAATGGAATTATAAATACATGATTAAGGGTAAAACAAGTTAGTCACCAAAGGAATAAATTACTCAACTAAATACACGGTTCAGGATAACAAAACATGAAAAAAGATTGACTAAAATACATTGGATAATTTGACCACGTTTCAAATACTTAGAATATCCGGAAATGAAATGTAATGGTTAGGTGTTCTACTGATAAATCGTGTGCCAAAATGACAAAACTCATAAAATTATTAGACAGCAACATTCACAGTACATGAATAAAACAAAAAAATTGCACAGCACACCTTTAGAACCTGGTCTCCAATGTCGCCCTAGTGACCCTGTTGATCCCATTTGAAGCCAGTTAAGTGCAAATGGATCATCCTCTTGAGTTGTTCTTTCTAAAAATTTAGACCATGTGATTAAAACATGAAAGTTAGATTAAACAAACTACTACAAAGAAAAAAAGTTAGTAATGTTATGTTGACCCAAAAAGATAATTGGATTAAGTGATGACTGATACCAAGATTATAAGCAGGATATAAAAAGATTGATAAAACACCCATGTTCGTGTGTAACTAAAATATACGTTGAAACGAGAAATCAGATATAGGAGTAGAAAAAGTCAATACCAACCTCGTAAATGACTAACGAAGTCGGGATCATCATAATCGAATACCTCAGTGGTCCTCAGCTTCTGCCGTCTCACTATAGGTCCACGATTAAGTTCAAACATGCTTGAGCTTCGTTTACCAAGGCGATCAGCTAGAAAATCTTGTCCCTACAGAAAAGGAGTGAAATAAAAATAATGTTCCACATAAAACATGTGAATTTCGAAATGTCCATAAAAACTAACAGTAACAATAATATTTATACTTTAAATCTATAACAGGACAGCATATGACGTATTCGAAAATGTGGGTAGAGTTATAATCAACATAGCACTAGTTATAGTAAAATAAAACTTATGGACTTAATTTTATCAAAAAACAATCATCATAGAAACCTGAGTACTGTCGTGCCTCATTATTTAAACCTTCAATTCATGCACAGAAATTAACTTCCAGTGTAACAGTTTCATTTCGAATTTCTACAATCTTAACGGTCAGCAATGCACTTAGTGCTTAAAGAATACAAGTGGTATAATAAACAAAATTTAGTTTTCAAAATGAGACATAAAACATTAATTCGTATGTTTATGAAAATGTAGATTTGCATCCTTAGAAGTTTTGACATTCTGTATGTCTTTAGTGCCAACACTCATCTAAGTAATGGCTAATGAAAGTAGAATAATGTTCCACGTGACCTAAATTCATTCACATATACTGATTTATCCCTCTTACTGCGAACCATACAATCAATCCTTTTAGTAGTTGCTGGAGAAGCAAATTTCAGTCTCGTGTGCTGTTACGGGTATGAGGGCTGGTGTCACTTCCCGGCTGCCCACACCGTGGAAGGGTATTTCTTGAAGAACCTGAAAAGGAAGTTGGATTAATAACGGCCTGGAAGCGTGACCGCAGAGCCCAGGGGACAACTGGTTGAGGCCGGTCGCGCACGACCTTTTTGTGGGAGGTTTTTAATGTGTTAGCTCCGTCCTTCGAAGGGCCTTACCACCGGAGACGGAAATCCGTGAGGTAAGGTGAGGTATGACAATTTTTAGGGTCGAGCTTTTCTAACCCCTTCCTTCCTTGTGAGAAGACAGCATCGCTGTAGATGCTGTTTGTCCGAGGGAGACACCCTACTGCTGCCACACCCCTCTACAGTCAGCAGTACGACCACCCTCAAACCTTGAGTTGCTGCTTTTAATCTTACCGTTCTCCAATCGACCTGCCTGGCATGGTAGTGCCTACATGAACATATGTTCCAGCCAATATAGCTCGGTTGGGTCATCACGATAGGCAACCCCGACCACCGCGTCAAGGTAGCAGCTACGGTCGAGTAGGATTGATTTTACTTATTTTCATAACCACACTGCAAATAGGAAACATTTATATATCGTAACATTCAATTCTATTGAATATTCATTGATTTGTTTTCTTCATAACTATCTCGCACGAGTACAACATAAGCTGTACTATTTACTTATTCATTCAAACACAGAGGTGTCAGTAATTAGTGTAAATAAATTTTTGACGAAGACTCATCTTTGATTGAAATCTGATAATTCGTTTGTAAATGTCAAAGGTTCAAAAATATCTAAAATATGAGTCCGTTTGATTGACAATTGTCATCTCTTTTGTTAAACGTTTTCTAGATTTTTATATCATTCTATTAGCCATATATTTTTTAGAAATTCACTTGGTAATGTATTTAGTATCGACAATAAAATGTTTTAAATATCAACATTGTTTGAGACTGTATTTCAGAATACAAGTCATCTTACAATATTCAAACCAGAAAAAAAATTTTATGTCTAGAACTAGTACTGAGATATCAAAGCATAAATACGCATACGACTAAGATTTAATACACTGACTTCATCTAAATGTAAGTTGTAAAATGAGTCCTGCGGTAGGAGTAGAGTAATTTGGTTTAAGAAAGAAATATGTACACATATCCATAGATAAATGTAATAAATAAGCTGATTAGGATACGAACCTTTGTCAGTCAACGTAGTTGATAAACACGTTTTGAATATTTGACCATCAACGACAACAACGTACTCTATACTAGCAAAGTAGTGGGACAGAAAAACTGAAATGAACAAATTAAGACGAGGACTTGTACCAGGTCAGTTAGTCAGTCATACGCAACGTAGAACCTGATACATATATACATCGGTCCAGGTTGCAGCATCACTTTAGCACAGAGATAAGATTATTGAAACAAGTCTGTGCAGCAGCAACAACATTAGTAGTAGCAGCACTAGTAGAGATTATTTACACAAAGAGGAAAAAAGGTGTAAAAAGATTTCGGGACTCAGGTTTTAGAGGAAAATAAAGTGAATTCACCGCTACCATTGTAAAAGATTTTAAGCCGTGTTACTCAGAACCTCTAGCCATTGGTTACGATAAACGCCCGGACATCCATTAGGTATTCTACACCTACCAGCATGGCTCAGTCCAATACCAAACATTACCTGTCGTGGTACGCGGTAGGTTATATGAAACACATGTCAGCCACAGCTGGTAAAATTTCAGTACCCCAACAAATTATTCCCCATATTTACTTAGTACTGTGTCAAACAACAACACTTCTTATTCGATGGTTCCAAAATAAAAGAATGAAGCTCCGAATATACCAATGATGAATTACTAGTAGCCTACAAATATGCTTTATTCTGAATGGTCATGTTTCATGGGACGGAGCGAACTGCTGCGCAGTAAACTTGTCCTTTGGCTGGCAGACAGATATATCGCCTATGTCACAAGTGATGCAAGTTAACAAAAGACAATCGAGGCTTCTAAATCAGTTCAGAGATTCCATCAGACATCAGTCTATCGGAACTGACTAAACTCCGAAGATAAGTAGGGCGGTTACCCGTGGAGTCACTGACTACTGATTTTAGTTATTTAGTGGCTCATACTACTAGATCGATATGTATGAGATAATTTATTTAGTGGTTGTAGACTTTGTGTGACATGCCCTATATACATTTCAGCTACACAGGCGCATTTTGAGCAAACGACTTATATCGCAATATTGTCATGTTTTACTCCTTCCATCTACATTACATTATTGTCACATAATCACTCCTTTATTCGTAAACTCATGTCCGGTGTGCTGATATAAGCTATGAAAGCTCAGGGCTATACAAATATAAGTATAAACTGCACTACTCTTAGAACCACAATATACAAACTTTGTCGGTAAGACTATGATTTATGGAGTACCTTTAAGTGGCGCTAAATAATATCAACTATATTGCTAAAATGCTGCTTAGCCATATGGATGGACCAATTTCCAGCAAAATCCAAGACTCACCATAATAGATGTTATTGGTTTGTCCATAAATTATAGTGTCGTCACTTGGTCAGTTTACTTGATGGTAATAAGCGAGATTCAGACCAGTATGACTAAAGTCCATCAAGATGGCCTATTTCACTCACTAAGAGACAAATATGACTAATTTGTCGGGCAATTTGTATTGACGGTTTCGTTACATTAGATTACAATAGGAGTTTGACAGTATAAAGTCGCAGTGGTCTCGCAGACAAACTTTTCATTACCGCTGAACATATATGATTGCCAGCATATAAACTAACACCTAAAACGACCAAAGTATTCTGCACTAAAAATTATATAAATTCAAATACACTATACGATGCTCGGTACATGAAAATCTACAATCCAATTAGCAGTAAAAATTATGAGAATATATATAAAACAGCCCAGGAACAAACCAACAGTGCACCGGAAAGAACAGCCTTCGCAGCATAATTTAGTCCTTTGGCACCAAACTCCACGACTTTCGAATATCCTTTTTCTTTTGCTCTGTTTATGGCCTCGTCAATTTCCTGAAAAAGTGAGCACATTTTGAAGAACATACGGTTTCTCTCTTAGTAAGCTCGGGGTGGATTACTTTTCGGTATATAAAACTATACCCAGAAGTGGCTGGTGTGACAAGCCAAATGACGAATAGAGTCTTCGCTTCGTAATAAAAAGGCAGCCTAGAAATAACCAATACTTAGGAAAAATATACCATTGGAGTAAAATATCCGTCACCAGCTCCAAAGTTATATACATGCTGAACACTACCCAGTACATGCCAAGTGTCACCTATAAAGTTCATAAAAGTTTGGAAAGAAATACGACTTTCATACCACTTCCTGATAATCTTTCCTTTTAATGGCTTTATAAGTTCTATAAGAGGGGTGCATAACTCCGAAAACAGTTCTATATATGAGGGAGTGACATGGAGAGCTTACATAATGAGCCTGGCGACAAACGCTGGCAACATCAGTTAATTCTCTTGAACATAAATTTCAGGGCGATCCGTCTCTTACCCTAAACTAGACGACCTTACGTGTGGCGTAAAAGTCGTTTGTCGCGGCGTAACATAGAGAATTGAATCACAACGAGTTCAAAGTTTAAACAACGTTCAAATAAATAAGGATGCATAATAAAGTCTCCCGACTAAACGATATTCAAAAACAATGACGCACGTGTAACGTTGTATCGAGTCGAGATACATGCTTAATTGAGAGGAAAGTATAGTCTCTGAACACAGTTTTTCGTTCTGTATATTGACCCTAGCGAACAGAGTAGTATAAAGAGCATTCGATGTTCCTCCTGATAGTGTGCACTTTGACGGATACCACTATCTTTTCGTGTGAGGTCATGTAGTCAACGGAATGCATTTTAGATTCTGTTCTCTTTGGGTCTTCTGTTCTAAATACACAATTCTGAGCCTAGTATAAATATGTCTGTATTGAATATAACATATACTCAGAAAATTATTTTCCAGCAAGCCTAAAACTGTTCGTCTTTTTGCCATATTGAATGACATTACAGATCGGTAACGTAGATCATCTATCTGGAATAATTAGGGGCCTACTCGAGAACATAAGTGTGGTGCGCTGAAACAGAAACTCCGAATTCACACCTCGCGATCAGCACCTAACGCGGATTACCCATTTTTGTGTCAAGACTCTAGGGCTACTTTGGAGGACGTTATTACAGAAATATATTGGTAAAAGTAGCTAAAATGAAGAGAGTGCGACCACCATCAGAATGATGTCGACGACTTTTTAAAAAGTCCTCTAAGTTTGGAAACAGATCAGAATAAACAGTTGTAATTTCATTAAACTTACGAAATATCATAACCAAAATGGGTGACATTGGATGCACTATTACTGGAATCATTTTCGTTAAGATCAAACAGATTCATTACACTTCATTATAACTGAAAATAAATCTTTCTTTGTAAAAATTTGATTTAAAATTCAAATGAAAAGATACCTGCAAGCTCACCAACAAAGATTATTCATCAAACGCCAAAAACATAGTTTGGTTAGCTATGTCAAGGGCTTTGCTTTAGTCCATGTAGACTACATCGTTTATAAGCAACTATAATACACATTCAACCGTCTCTAAAGTCTCACAATTTACTTTTCCGCAGGCTCTGGTTTTCGAAGAAGGCCATAAGGTTGTGCGTCATGATTCCCTATGGCGTTCATTACTACTCTCGTCAAGCTAGTCATTCTGTGCCGTGAAGATTAACGTCCACGTCCTACTTTGTGGTTTTTAATGACCGTGGATGCCATGCGCATTGCAAATCGTGTCACTGAACAAAGTGCACTATATGTGATCCCGTTGATATCTTGATTTATATAAAGCTCATTTTCTGAAAGAAGTAAGACTATAAATTATTCGGCGGCATTACTTCCAATATTTTCTCTTTTTGTTAATAAGAGAACCGTAGGTGGAGATACAACCGCCTTAAATATTGCCAACGGTCATTTCGTCCTAGACGTCTGAAATCAAATGAGATACGTTAGTCTGTAGAACTATGGTCTACTATGATATTAGTACTGCTCTAATAATAGACCTAATCCTAAATTTGTAAATTTGTCATGATATAACTGCCTAATCTATAAGATCTTACGTGGAAGTCACACCATCGACTACACCAACTCACTGTATCGTATCAATTACCAATACATGATGTAGAACAAGGTTAGGCTAGAGAAAGAACAATATATTTAATATGAATAGAAGATATAAAGTAACATTGAGATGGACCACGCCTGCATGGACGAGCCATGCCATCCGATCAAACCCAGTCCATTCAATTCATCGTTCGCGCCTTCTCCATTCTTAGGTATTTCTCCGCGTTAAATATTGAATATCTATTTTCTGAGTAGTCTCGTGTTCACAGCTTTGTGGATTGTGTGGCTATTGTCCAATGCCACTACACTACTCTCCCACCAGAATCAACGTGATGTTGGTTCGATACCAGATTGGATGGGATCGTCGCGCGCCGGAGGTTACCAAGGATAATAAGAATCCTCCGGGCATTGGTAAGCTGAAAGATAAATAAAGAAAAGCGGCAGCATCTGGTCGGGAAATACATGTAATAATTTTAAAATATCTGCCTTCATGCTTAAAACGCTTGAAATGAAAATTTGAGTGAAGATTATTTGAGCTATAAAAAATGGGGTTACAATAATAATGATAATAAAACGATGCGTGTTCATAACTTAACTTATAGGTAGTAATTATTTTGTGTTTAGAAATATTAAAGTAATGATTATTGTAGAAATGTTAATATTGGTATTAGTTTTGGTTTAAATTATGAAATCAATTTACAATTATGCCGGTAACCTGTCCATATGTGATTTCCAATTGCATCTGTATTAGTAGGCTAACTGAAAGAACAAAAGTATTAACGTGGAGAAGAATTCCAACTAGTGTTCCAGTTAGTTTGATACGGTTTATTTAGCTACGGGAAGATTTTCTCAACCTCATTTTTACTTGATCGTGATAGAATTTAGTAATACTACTAATACACATGAATGGTTATCAGAATAAAATTTAAATACATGAGTGATAATTATATGGATTTTGGACAGATAGCTAGGAAAAATCGTTAAACATGAGTGTATTCGTAAGAGACATGCTCTAGACTCAATGTTCTGATCTGTGGCAGACTATTTATTTATATTTATACTTGCCAGCTGATTGGGCATACAAGTTAGTTGCAAGTATGCAGTTTATCATAAGGCGGAATACGACTTAATTGAGATATAGTGGTTATGAGTTATTGAAATCAGTTAGGCCTGTGTCATATTACGAAGTGATGTGGTGCTGCAAGATGTATTTAGCTAAGTTTTCACAAGATGATTAATAGTGAGTGATGCTCATGTGATTATCAGGGAGAACATAAGTTGTAACCAGGGGGAGTACACTCCCAACTCATGTCTATGATAATGGCTTGAACCTTAGTCAGTGTTGGGGTAAATTCGACATTGATGTTTTCAGTTTGCAGGAGATTCGCTCGACTGCTTATACTGATTATTTGCATGCATTATTGTGTCGCTAAACCATCAATTAGACTGACAAGGTTTCGAGATATTTACTGAGTGGGCAACTGATAGAGAAACATACTGTAATCATCTGTAGTGAATGAAGATAAAAGAAAAACAACACTAGTGATAAATATAAGTCAATTTGCTGACGGATTTTGTTAATAGTTTCATTAATTTTATCAATCATATTACGTGATCGTCAAGTCATGACAATGCTTTATGACGATATCCTGAAACTATTATGTTTAACTAGTTATAGTGTTGATTGAGGATTAGTCAGTGGAAAAATAGGTATTGTTGCTTTAGGTGATTCGAAATTATCAGAAATTTATAACGTTAAAGAATCCGAGACGCCTAATTTAATTAGAAATTTAATTCAGAAAGATTCGTTTAGTGTTAATTTTAGCAGGCTACGGAGTTTTGATTTTAAACGTTTGTTTAGCCAACAGCTACCTAGGGATTTAGTTATTTTACTAGTGTAGTTGGTAGTACCTAAATTTTCAATCTTATTATCTAAACTATGTTCGTATTTTAGGCTGCTAATATAATAAATTAATCCATAAACCGAAATACGATTAGCAACAACGACTATGGGTTTATCGATAAATGTTAAAGGTGATTCAAATGATTTCTAAATTTAGAAGACATGAAGATATAGTGCAACGCATGTATGGGCCAGGTTAACATGCAGGTTGTTGACGTATATGACAATTTGAAAATAATGAACATGATCAGAAAGATAATTTTAAAGTTAAGACTGCTTATGAAACTTCAGGCAGGAATATGACGCATTATAAACATTCCGTAAGAAGTTAATGCATTTAGCCTAGGGACACTTACAAATATGTGGCAAAAGCAACTAGAAAACATATACATGTTAAGTGCAAAAAATCATTAAGTAAAATAGTTGAACTCGCCTGGGTTATTTTTGAAAATTAGATTATTCAGTAGACGACATATATAACGCCATTCGTGAGTAGTAATGATCCAAAAGTATCCAGAATAAAACATTCAGTATGGCAATTAATTCCAGGGTGCTTGATGGTGTTGACGTTTTTGCCACTCGCCCGGATTAGAACAATCGAATGAATCCAGATAATTGTTTGGTTGTTATTGAACGAGCCATCTAAAATGACCTTATGATTGCAGAAAACTTATAGCTGGAACTCACCGAATTTTTTTGGAGAATTGTCACCCTTGTTGTTTGGCAATGGAACTCGAGAATATGAAATTAGGCAGGCAGTGGTCGGAAGAAAAGATATTACAGGATAGTGCATAGTTTAAAACAGGACGAGGTGTTAAGCGAAGGAACACTGAGAATTAGATCCAGATAACTATTCAATCCTTGATTGCATTGTTAGTCAATGTATATTTACGCTACTAACAGGTCATATTTGCTAGAGCTTGATGTTTAAACAAGTCTATGTCGCTGAAGCAGGTAAATGCTATTAAAGCTTGTTAACGAACCATCAAAGCTAATTAGTTGATATAGATGATCAACTTTTATCATCGATTGAGCTAGTAAGTTATGTAAACCAATAGATATAAAATTACGATAATATATGTGACCATTAATCAAAGGACTATTAGAATACTGGATTTACAAAAATAAAAACCGATTGAGAAGGTTAAGGTGGAAATAAGGATTAACAATAATAGGTTGCGTTTCTTTAGTTGGGCTCACAAATGTAGAACTATGGTCTACTATGATATTAGTACTGCTCTAATAATAGACCTAATCCTAAATTTGTAAATTTGTCATGATATAACTGCCTAATCTATAAGATCTTACGTGGAAGTCACACCATCGACTACACCAACTCACTGTATCGTATCAATTACCAATACATGATGTAGAACAAGGTTAGGCTAGAGAAAGAACAATATATTTAATATGAATAGAAGATATAAAGTAACATTGAGATGGACC